TGCGAACCCTACGTTCCCATATGAGTTTGCTGGTCCTCCGTGTCCAGGGTGACAAATGAGACAGAACACGCACGTGCACAGAAATACTGACGGGAAAAGTGCTTGCACCGGCAGATTTCAGAGGTTCGTGGAAGTGGAGGATGGGATGGCTCACCCGCCAGAGGGAGGCCAGAGCGGCACAGAAGCCCCATCTGCCAGTCCCAGATGTATCGGTACCAGGAATGTGAAGTTGAAAAAGATTTTATTGAGGCAGGGAAAGAACTGCCGGGAGGGAAGGGAGAGCAGAGAAACAGACGGGAGCATCCTGAGCTCCCAGGGGGTTTCCAAGATCCATCAAGTTATCAAGTTAGGTCAGGGAAGTTGCGCCTGGTGCTAGGGTGGCTATATACATATACATATACATATACATATACATATATATGATGAGCTTAAAGGCATATGATATGGGTCGGTAAGGGGAAGGAAGGTTCTTTGTGCTGCGGTTGCAAGTTTCGGGTCAGGAGATGACCTGTCAGTAAATCATCTTGTTCTCAGCAAACCTGCTTCCTGGAACGCTAGGGAGAGGGAGCTGTGTTCTGCCTGGTGAGGTAAGCTTTGTGAAATGCTAGAGGCAGGTGCTTTGAAGCTCAGCAGGTCATTTGTCTTCTTGAGAGGCTTGTGCAAGGGGATGCTTGATCCGCACCCAGCCCAAACAGGCTATAGCTCTAGCTGTGGCTTGAGCAGAGGCCCACCAGTTAGGGCTGTGTTCTCAGGTAGAATCACATTGCCACTGCCAACTTACTACACCTGAGGAAGGAACAGCAAAACAAAGATGAAAAGCTACCATAACAGTCACTTCTTTCTTTCCAAATTTGTATTACAGTCTCCCTTTGACTACTTAGCCAGGAGACGGAGGGTAAGAATCACAGCGAGGAGGCCAAGAGCTGTCTTGAGCTGGGGGCCTGCAGGATAGAAAGAAGAGAGAAGAAACTTTGTTGCTACTTAAACAAAAAACCCATCACAACTCATGTGGTTGTTACATAATCTGGTGTCAATTTGGGCCTTGAGAGGATTAAGAGTGAAGGGGTAGAATCTAGTCTGTCAAACAGGTTAGAGCCTCAAATGAGGCTTCTGTGAGGGCATGGCCTTCTCCTGAGGATTCTGTAAAATCCGGTATTTTCCTCCTTGGAGGCAGAAGGCACTGTCTCTCGGCTCACTCCCTTGGAGACTCACTACTGATGAGGCTGATTTCCTGCTAGACATCCCCAAGGAGAAGCCACATGGACCTACCCTGATGCAGCCCTGGGTGCTGGAGAAGCCACGTGGAGACCCTGCCAGTGCTGAGATGCTTACAATGCCACTGAATCCAAAAGACTTCCCATCCACTGGCCTGTGATCTTCCTGCATTTAGCATCATGTATTTTGTGTGTCAGAAGACAACTCTATTGCTTGGTATTGGACATATGGGCTAAAATCAGACTTATGGACTTGATCTGTACTGGGTTGGGATACTTCTTCATGTACAATTACCCTTTATATAAAACTCTCTCTTAAACACATACGAGTTACTCTGGATTTGTTTCTCTAGTTCACCGGGACTAACACACCTCATGTATCTTCTTCGGAGTATGTTTTCCTTGTACTTTCCTTCTCAATCTGATTGGATTCATTCATTATTTTATTTAACTAATATTGTGCTGTGTTTTGTTTGCTGAATGCATCTTTTTTCTCCATGGCATTAAGCCGTTAACCCCGTGCTCAGCAGTTCAAAACCACCATCTGCTCTGTGGAAAAAATAAGGGGCTCTCTCCTTATTTAACCACCACTTCTCTGACAGTTTGCCTTACTTTGTTGGCTTGTGTGTTGCTGTGATTTTGAAAGCATTTTCCAGTCGAGTCTGATGGAGTGCCAGGCCCTGAACCCAAAGTCGACTTTTGGTACTCCCTTGGGACTTCCTTGCTCTGCTCCTTTTGCTGTTCTGTTGCACACCCTTAGTGTTTTCCTCGGTGTGGAGGGGTCAGATCGGTGCAATTCCCACTCTGTGTCTCCAGTGTTGTCCCCCAATAGGGCTATGGGTCAGTGAGGGATGTCATTTCTCATAGTGGGGCCAGCCATATGATCCTCTCTGTGGATTAGCTGCTCTGAACAGGGATATTGTCTTGAGGATGTGCTCCACTCTCTCTTCCTCCCCCTTCATTTGCTCCTGTGTGCTCTGATCAGATAAGTCCCTCTCCCTGAGCTGCAGCTTCAATGCTGTTCTCTGAAGTAAATTCTTCGGGGTCGGGGGCAGCTGTCCACATAGTTGGGATTGGGGCCAGCCCCTTAGACCTCTTTAATGGTTTCCTGCTTCATGCTGGTATATTGAATCCACATCTTGGAGCACTGGGATCAAGTCTGGTCCCTCTTTCCCTGTGGAGACATAAACAATACCCTCCCCTAGGGTGGGTTAGTGCCCTGTTTCCCCAATACCCATTTATTTCTTTTTCTCGCCCCCCCCCCCAACTTTTTAGTTTGCTACCATATGTATCCCTGGATTTGGTCTGGCCCCTTCCATACTACCCGGGCCTCACCCCAGGAATATATGTACACAGTAGCTTTTTCTCTATGCCCCTTTTGCATTTTTTTAAAGCTTACCTTAGTGGACTCATGTTGTACTTGTCCTTTTGTGCTTGGCTTACTTGGCTTAGAATGATTTTCTCCACTTCTTCCCATGCATGTGATGTGTTTCATGCATTCATCATTGCTTTTTAGCATTGCATAGTACTCCATTGTATGTATGTACCACAGTTTATTGATCCATTTGTCTGTAGATGGAAATTTGGGTTGTTTCCAACTCCTTGCAATTGTGAACTGTACCGTGATAAACATCGGAGCACAGATGTCTGGCCATGGTTTGCTTCTTGCCTCTTCTGGGTATATGCCCAGTAGAGGGATTGCTGGGTGGTATGGTAACTCAATTTCCATCTGTTTTAGATATCACCAAATTGATTTGCATAGTGGCTGTACATACTAACAGGGCCACCAGCAGGGATGAGAGTTCCTATCTCACCACAGTCCCATCAACATTTGATGCTTTCTGATTTTTTGAATTGGGCTATTTTTGAGGGTGCTAGGTGGTATCTCATTTTAATTTGCATTTCTCTTATGGCTTATGATTGGGAACATTTTCTCATATGTTTACTGGCCACTCAGATTTCTGCCTTTGTGAAACTTGTATTTAGGTCCTTTGCCACATCCTCAGTGAGTGTGTTAGACAGGGTTCTCTAAAGAGATAAAACCAAATTCTTGATAATATAATATATTTATTTATAAAGGTAATTAATATATAACAAGAAATGAAATGTTAAATCATAAAGATAATTAGATATATAACGAGAAATGAAATGTTAAATCATATACAGATAAATATACAATCTTAAATCATATACAGATAAATATACAATCATATACAGATAAATATACAAGAAATAAACAGTTAAATTAGAAGCACTATAAACGGCTTAGTGCAACTCACGTCCGTGAGAGAAAGTTGAGAGACTAGCAGTCCTTCCAGTCTCTATCTGATGCCAGATCTTCCTCTATTTGTAGAGACAGCTAGGTTATGTCAGCACAGCAGCCAATCACAAGGCAGGTCACCAATTGCCAGTTCCCAGCTCCAGAGAAGTCTTAAAGGGACCTCAACTTACAGCAACACAGTCCACAGGCTAGGCGTCCCACAGGCTCTGTAGCCTTTAAATTAAAGCACAGAACAAGCAAGGCAGCCGCACACTGGTCCGATGATCACAGAGCGAGAGACAAGAAAGGCAAGGCTCACCAAGCCATCCATCTCTCCGCCCCTCAGTCAATCCCACCTGCGTTTATCAGCCAGGCTGGCACAATAAACTGTCTCAGTGAGCAATTCATTTTTTTTTTCTTTTTGGAAGCTAGCAGAGTATTGTAGATTTTAATAATAAGGCTTTTGTCTGATGTGTCATTGCTAAAGGTATTTTCCCAGTCTGTGGGCTCTCTTATTACTCTCTTGGTGAATTCTTTAGATATACACAGGTGTTTTATCTTCAGTATATCCCACTTGTCAATTTGTGACTCCTCTGTATTTGTGTCCTTCCTTATTTCTGATAGCCTATGTATTCCCTGCACCAAAGTTATCAAAGTCCAATTCCCTCATTGATGGCCCTAGTTGTTTGGGGTTTTATGTCAATCTCTGTGATCTACCTTGTGTGTATTCTTGTGCATGGAGTGAGATAAGGGTCTTGCTTCATTTTTCTGCAGGTAGATATCCATTTTTCCCCAGCACCACTTGTTGAAGAGGGCATCTGCTTCCCATTTGATATTTTTGGGCCCTTATCAAAGATCAGATGTCTGTATGCTGATGATTTTATTTCTGGGTTTTCAGTTCTTTTCCATTGGTCTGAGTATCTGTCATTATATCAATACCATGTGGTTTTGACCACTGTGACTGTATAATATGGAGCACCCATCTTTTCATCCTCACACCCTGTGCATTTTAGGACCAAGGACTCATTGTTTCCAACGTCAAACGGATCCCTTGGGAGAGCAGTGCAGCCCGCTTCTCTTGTGCACATCCTGTTGCTGTGAGTCAGAACCCACTCTCTGCTTCTGACAACTCTGACTGGAGACTCTCTGGTTGGAACCCTGTCGCTGTCCCACAGAGCTTGTCCTGGACCTAAAGACAAGGGAGGTGACATGATCTCAGGAAGCTATGGAGGTACTGGGTCACAGAAAGGCTCAGGCCAGAAGGGCGCTGTGACTGCAGCTAGAAGACAGCTGCAGAGACGGTGAGAGCTGAGGTGGAATCCAGGCTCTGCACCCTCACCCAGCCTTGATAGATTGCTGCATCGTGGGTGGCTCCTTTTCCTTCCTCTGAAAACTGTGACAGGAGGTCTTGGGCATCAGTGACCTGACAGGAGCAGCTCAACTCTTGTTTCTGTTCCAGGACCACCAGTGCAGGGTTTGTGAGCACGGAGCCCGCCTCCACAGACCTGGGGAACGGACTGTCAACAATGGATGAAAGTGACCAGCACCCTCAGTCAGATATTGACACATGGACAATGATCCCGGGTTTGCTGGCCATCATCATTGCCCTGTGTGGGCTGGCAGGAAACGCGGTCGTGATCTGGCTGCTGGGCTTCCGCCTGCGGAGGAACCCCTTCTGCGTCTACATCCTCAACTTGGCCGTGGCTGACTGCCTAGTCCTGGGCACCACGACTGCTTATGCACTGATGGTACTCATCGATTATTTCCAATTCATTTATTCCGTCCACAACCGTTTCATCAACTTTGTGATATTATTTCCCTACCTGGCAGACATGAGCCTTATCAGCGCCATTGGCACCGAGCGATGCCTGTCCATCCTGTGCCCCATTTGGTATCGCTGCCGCCGCCCAACGCATATATCAGGGGTCAGCTGTGCTCTGATCTGGGCCCTGTCCCTGGTGCTGGCCTTCCTGCAGATGCTCTTCTGTATAGTCTCATGGGATTTGTGTTGGTTGGCTGATTTCTTCCTTTGGACGTGGGTGATTTTCCTATTTTTGGTTCTCTGTGGGTCCAGCCTGGTTCTGCTGGTGAAGGTGTTCTATGGCTCCCGGAGGAGGAAGATGACCAGGCTCATTGTGACCATTCTGATCACTGTGTTGGTCTGCCTGCTGTGCGGCCTGCCCTATGGCTTTGGTTGGTTCCTAGTATCTTGGATGGTGGGTGCATATGGTCAATTACCCCATGTATGGTTTACTCTATTCTCCTGTGTTAACAGCAGTGCCAACCCCATCATCTACTTCTTTGTTGGCTCCTTTCGGCAGCAGAAGCAGCGGCGGCTGAAGCCAACCCTCAGGATGGTTCTCCAGAGGGCACTGCAGGACACTCCTGAGGGGGAGGAACCTGGAGGAGCCCCCCCTCAGGGACTCACGGAGCAGACAGAGAGCAGTGCGGTGTAGTGCTGAGAGCCTCTGCCTCTGTCAGACAGTTGTGGCTTTAGAAGCCAGCTTTTCTCCATTAACTTGCATAATGTTCTTACTTTTTGTCACCCGTGTCTCTGATCCTAAAGTAAGGGTTATTTCTGAAGGACTCGCTACTCAGGGCCTTCATCACAAGACCAGTGGCCAGCTCGGCGGTCTAAGACTGCTCTCCTATTTTTTAAAGTTGTTCTTGTGGCTAAAATCATGCATTTGTATATATCTTTCTTTTTATAATACAGTCATGAGTCATTTGACATTCACAAAATGCTCTATAAAATATGACTTTATATGATATGACTGTTATGTGGGAACAATATTATGCCCAGGCCCCTTCAGACTGTAAGCAAGTTCCGTTGTTACTGTGTCTTTAAGTGGAATTTGAACATAGGTATGGTTCACATTCAATACCAGTTAATCAAATGTTTGCCTTCACTCTCCAAACTCACTACCACCAAGCAAGTCAGCCTCATCGCAGCTCTGTGGGACAGAGTAGAAGCACTGCTGGGGGGTTGGGAGCCTGTCACTCTTTACAGGAGTAGAAAACCTCATCTTTCTCCCAAGTAGAGGCTGATGGCTTTGACCTCCTAGTTAGCAGCCCAAAGCATAACCCACTATGTCACCCAGGGCTTGGAAAACATAAAACAAGCTTTCTATACCAAAATACCTTTAACATAACACATAATAGCATGTTATATTTAACACAATAATAATGTTTTGATGCATATCCCATCATAATAAACTATTTGTTATTATAAACCAATGTTTCAGAACATTTTCTTCTTTCTTGTACTCATTGTTATTAGCTCCTCATTTCCCCCCAACCTCCCCTGTCATACCCCCCCAAAAAAACTATTATTCCCATTACTGCCTTATAGATTTATTTATCCTGGATTTCATATACATAAAAACGTAAACAAACAAAAAAACTAAAAAGTAAAATAGGGAAAAACTTCGATCTAAAAGAAAACAGAAAATACCAAAATCTAGAACAAACTTAAAGTGGATCAAAAGGGAGATCAACTGATAAGGTATTAAATTTTAGCCTAACTGCTTCTGCAATATTCCACTTCCCAATGCACTCTGCAGGATAGCAAGGCTATTAACGTCCCTAGCCTGTGGTCAGAGGGAATTCACTGGAGGCTTAATCCTCATGTATTTTCCCTTCACTTTTTATTAAACTGAGATAATTTTTGAATGAGTCAGAAGAGATCCAGTGATTGTACAGTTTATAATCTAAATACATCTGCCATAATTAACTCTACAAAACATTCTGTCTGAGAACAAGGCTAGTCACATCCTCTATGATCTACTTGTACCAACTGTGATCAGAGGAATTTACCAGAGGCTTAATCCATGTGTGGACCCTGCATATTAATCCTGGGTTTCCACTGTCATCCACAGCATTCTTCAAACCAGGTGTTCATAATGTAATCTCTGAAAACATTCCCTCCTTAAGATTTGGATCTTATGATTGACAGTCCTTGGATCACACTGGTTGGTGTGCTTTTTCCATGTGGACTTAGTTGACACCTCTGCTAGATGGCTGCTTGTTTTAAGAGAAGACTTTACAACCCCAAGTGCTGTTCTTTCTGATAGCCGGCACCATCTAGTTTCTTTGTCACATTTTGCTGTAACACTCGGATCTTCAGTGATCTCTTTATGAGGGGGAGCATCAAGTAGGGCCATGCCATAAGAACTAATTGTTCTTACACTGGAACTAGAATCAAGTGTGAATTCCCAAATCCATCATATATCTATGATACACACACACACACACACACACACACACACACACGGTCATTGGTTCACCTTAGAGACAATATTGTCATTTTATGTTCAAGAACATTATCAACCCCATCGCAGACCTTGGAAACAGGGTAATTGTATTGATTGTGTCATTAATTTAGCCACTGTAATGGAATTTAAAACGTTGTTGAGAAAAGAACATTATACAATATAGGCCGTTATGAACCTCATTAGTCAACTTGAGAAGATTCAACTCTTAGGTGATTAGACCTTATTTACACAAATAATGAGGCTTATTGATAGGGCAAAACTTTCAATAATATTCACAATGGGAGAACCATACCTGCTAGATTAAACATGTCATAATGGAGCAAGGACAGAAGTAGTATCGTCACTGTATGATAGTCCCTGGTCATCATTCAGTGGGCACTCTCAAGGCAGGAGATCTGGACCAAAGTCCAATGACCGCCAGGTGTATGCTTTTGGGATAGCAGGCATCTGCTCCTTCTCACACTAGGGAGTTTCAACCTTAAGGGAAGGCTACAGGTGAGTTTGATAGAAAGAGTTTTATATAAAGAGTAAATGTACATTAAGAAAGCATCCCAGCCCAGAGCTGCCCAATCCCATAAGTTCAACATTATCCCATATGTCCAACACCAATCTACAAAATCCTCCTCCATCTCACAAAACACACACAATGACGATGACTGCAGCAGGAAAGCAGAATCAGTGAGCGTGTAAGCATCTCAGCACTGGCAGGCGTCTCCACACAGCTGCTCCAGCACCCAGTGCTGCCTTAGGGTAGGTCCACGTGGATTCTCCTCAGGGATGTCTTGCAGGAAGTGAACCTTGCCAGATGCAGCAGGGAACAGGCTAAGGCAGCTGCCCCTTGGTCCAACCATCATAAAACAAGAAACCTGAGAACTAGAAAGGTGAAGCTCACTGAGCCATTTATCGCTCTGCCCTTCAATTAACCCCAAATGTGTTTATTGGCCAGGTTGGCACAATAAACTTTAACTATCTCAGGCCTTCTTTAATTCCTTTAGCAATGTTTTTAGTTCTGAATAAGTAGATATTTCATCACCCTAGTTAATTCATTCCTAGGAATTTTATTCTTTGAGATGCTATTGTAAATGAAATAGTTTTCTTAATTTCCTTCTCAGATTCTTTCACTGTTGTAAAAAAACAACTGATTTTTTGTGTTAATCTTGTACTTGCAATTTTGCATAATTCATTTATAGGCTCAAGTAACTTTCTTGTGGATCTCTTTGAATTTGTATATGTAGGATTATAACATCTGTCAATAGATATATTTCTTTTTAAAAAGCCATTTTATTGGGGGTTCTGACAGTTCTTAGAACATTCCATACATCAATTGTATCATGCATATTTGTTCAGATGTTCCATTTTCATCTTGTAAACATTTACTTTCTATTTGAGCCCTTGGTATCAGCTCCTCTTTTTCCCCTCCATCTCCACCCCCTCCCACTCTTGGGGCCCCTTCGATAAATTATAAATTATTATTGTTTTCATATCTTACACTGACAGATATCTCCCTTACCCCACTTTTATGTTGTTTGTCCCCCTGGGGGTGGGGTGGGGGGAGTTATGTATTGATCATTGAGATCAGTTACCCCTTCTCCCACCTTCTCCCTACCCTCCTGGTATTACTACTCCTATTTCTTCTCCTGAGGGGTTTATCTGACCTGGATTCAGTGTGTCCTGAGCTCTTATCTGTACCAGTGTACATGCTCCAGTCTATCCAGAACTGAAAGGCAGGACTGCGGTCATGATAGTAGGGGGTGAGGAAGCCTCAAAGAACCAGAGGAATATTGTATGTTTCATTGGTGCTGTACTGCACCCTAGTTGATACATCCCTTCCTTGTGACCATTCTGTAAGGGGATGTCCTGTTCTCTACAGATGGGTTTGGGGCCTTTGCTCTGACACCCTCCTTCTCAACAATGTATATTTTTATTTGTTTGTTTTGGGTCTTCTGGCACCTGTTATCTGATTCTGTCAACACCTTATGATCACACAGGCTGGTGTGCTTCTTCCATTTGGGCCTGTTTTTTTCTGCTAGATGGCTGCTTGTTTAACTTCAAGTCTTTAAGATCCCAGAAACTGTATCGTTTGATAGCCAGGCACCATCCGCTTTCTTCACCTCATTTTTGCTGATGCACCCACTTTGTCTTCAGCGATCCTGTCGGGAGGGTGAGCACCTCATAATGCCAGATTATTAGAACAAAGTGTTCTTGTGTTGAGGGAGGGCTTGTGCAGAAGCTCAAAACCCATCCACTTCCTCAATGTATTGCCATATAAATATATGTGCATAGGCCTATACCTCTATTTTTATGAATTAATATATTTATATAAGTGCAAGCCTATGTTTCTACTTCTCCATAGCATTGCTTCCTAGACCTTTCTTTTGTTTCCTTTTACCTTCCTCCTGCCCCAGCATCATGCTCCCACTACTTCTGCCTCTTAGTAATTCCTCTCAGCTAGATTGCGTTTGCTCCAACACCCCCAGGATCTCTACGTCCTCCTGGTTGTTGATTTTAATTCCCTAGTTGTTCCCCTCTCTATGGCGTTCTTTGCTCACCGCTCCCTTTCCCCACCTTCTCCTCCCCACAAGGGCCTCCTGAACTGTTGGTCCCATTGCTTTTCCTTGGGCTTGCTTCCCATGCCCATCTTACATAGGTGGGCAAAACAGCAATAACAGAGAGAACCAACAAGAAAAGAAAAGAATGAATAGAGAGAGAGAGAAACACCCTAGCAACAAACAAACAAATGAAAAAGCATACATAATTCCAGGTCTGTTCGCTGACCTTTATGACTGTCTCCCCACCTGTCCTGGGGGGTTCCAGAAACTCCCCTCCTAGCCTGATGTCTATTTGGGGGGCTCCTCAGGAGTTTTGTGGCTTTACTTTGCTCCTGTTGCTGATCTGTAATGTTCCCTTCTTGGTTTGCCCCACTGTGGGGTGGTCAGACCGGACTCACTCTCCACTGTGTGTCCCCATTGTTGTCCTTTGTCGCAGGATATTCCATCGAGGGGACATCATTGTCTCTAGCTCTTGTCAGCCCGACAGTTCTCTCTGTGACGTAGCAGCTCCATGCAGGGATGTCGTCCTCACAGCTTCCTGTGTCAGTACGGAGTCCAGTTCCCCACTCTCTCTTTTTCCTTCCTGATTTGCTTTTGTATGGGCGTGGCAGGTCAGTCTCTCCCCACCCTGTA